TAATAATAATAATAATAATAATAATAATAATAATAATAATAATAATACTAATGTATTAATTTTATAAGTATATATATATCATTATCATAGTGATAATAATATTATTAATCTTATCATAGTGATAATAATATTATTAATCTTTTTCAGATCAATCAGATTTTGAAAATCCAATGTGGAGCAATGTGTTTTTGTGGCTAATAAATGTTGTACTTTTAATTGGCGGACTTTGCAGATTATTATTACACGGTGATCCAATACTGCCTTGTAACAGTAAAATATTTATTGAACTTCATCGATGGAGACGTCAAGCAGAATTCAATATATCCAAGAATGAATATAGTCAAGCTTGTCGAGATTTACATCAATGTTTGCAATACTTGGGCCGACCATATCCATCGTCGCGCACAGAAGCTTGGCTCGCAACAATGTGGCAAATTATAAGACAACTTCTTCATAAATTATGGATTGGAAAATGGATTTTACATATTCATAAATGGTTTTCCGAAAAAACTGTACGTCAGCAAGCAGAAATATCAGCTATGGAAATAGCTATTATTTATCAACATATGTTGCGTCTACATTTATCAGAAGGATCAAAAAGTGGAACATTGTATCTTGCTCTTTCTGCAGTGAACTATGCAGAAGCTACTGGCGAGACTATTCCAAAATCATTATTAGCAGAAATATATATTAATGTTGCATTGTGTTTCAAGCAATCGCTATTTCCATTCATTCATAAATATTATTTGGGTAAAGCGCGCACGTTGCTTTCGTCGTGTGCGGTCCCACCAAAATTAAAATGGATAATGAGTGACGAAGGTGCTAAATTCTTAGCATTTCAAAAGTGGCAATATGGGAAACAATCGGATCATGAATTTACATCTCAAACTAGTAAAGCTGATCCTTTGTCATATGCTTCACGCGCTTATAGAGATTATTTGATTGGACATTGTTTACGTATTTTAACTGGTACTCTTGGAGATGCACATGTATCTTTAATATTAGAATATGCACAAACTATTATGGCTTCTGCTGGAGTAGATGCCGGATTTTTATGTACCGACAAAGTTACAGTTACACGTAAGTTGAAACAAAATTTTGTTTAATAGGTTCTTTGGCAAGTAAATAAAATTTTTAATATTTTAGATTGTGAAGATGAAATTGGATTATGGTGGGGAGCAGTTATATATGTAGCAGCATGTTGGAGATTGAAAGAAGATGATTCACAAGCATGGAATATTGTTGAAAGCAAATTTCCTTATGAAAAAAATTACCAGCTTTGCAATAATGCTAATAATAGTATTAGTCTGCTGCCATATATTGTTTTGAATGCTTTGCAAGCAGCAAAAGCTACTACTAGATCAGTCTCCATGCGTTTTATTGATCAGACAGGAGTATTACTTGAACAATGTTTGGTTTATTATAATTGTAAGCAACAATCGTCACAAAACGTTTTGGTAAGATATTTAAACATTTAACAATAATTTTAGTATTTAATTAGTATTTAACATTTAATAATCATTTTAATAAAATTTATACTTTTCTTTTACATAAGCAGTAAAATTAGAAATAACGAAGTAATCGTATGATTTGAGCAAGGAAATAAAATATTAAATTTTTTCTGTTCCTCTTTTAAAACAAATATCTCGGAAAAAATGATGAAATAATGAATTAGACATATAATTGATATTAAATATATAAATCGTACAAAATTAAAAATATCTAATGACAATATAATTTTTATTCAACTGCTTACTTGTTACAAGTGTGCATTGTAGTTGCATTGCATGAAATATAACTATGCAATACTTCTACAGTGCAACTCTTGTGGCAAGTCTCAGCACCATATAACAGATATATACATACATACACACATACATATTATATATATATATATATATCTGTAATATATATATATATATAATATATATGGGTAAGTCACTTCAGACAGAAAATTAAAATATTTTTGTATCATTCGAGACATTTTTTAACTATTTGGAGAGAGGAGTAATTTAATGTCACTAATTGTTTTATAGGTGGATGCGTAAAAGATATATAAAGACTTTATTTTTTTAGATAGAATCATATATTTTTTAAGTAAATGATTCGATTCATCTAGGCATTCTGTATAGTAAAGTATTAATATATTTATATCGAATGAATAATTTAGCAGATATTTTAATTTTAATTTTGTTGTATTTATTGCATGTAGAGCTACATAAATAAATACAATACTACGGTTTGTCTTGCATACAATAGTTTTATAAAATAAAAATATTTATTAAATTACTCGTTTATAACATACATTCATATCGAGATAGATCGATTTATGTATTAAATATTATATGATTTTGTATGAAAAGTGCATATGAACTTTACACGTTCACTTACAAAAATATCGGTTGTATCTTATCACGATCAACTGATATTTTCTCAAAACTATTAAAATTTTTTTCTGAAATATTTTTCTAAAGTGACTCATCCTGTATATATATGGATATGTATCACATATATATGATATATATTATATACAGGGTATCAAGAAAATAAATGACCAAATTTTGGTATCACATATAAAATGATATAAACAGATCCGAAATTTCCTTTTTAACATATAAATATTTTTGGATTACGACAGAATATTGAAAGTAATGTTGAAAAGTTAAGGAAATTGCTGAAAATAATGTTGAATCTATGTTTCAAAGATTATCGAAAATATACAAAAATTTCTCTTGTATTCCGAATTTTTTTATGAGACAATAATTCGCTTTTTAGATATTTTCAATTTATCAATAATGTTATTATAATAAATTAAACTTTTAATATATGCCCTTAAATGAAAATCCAAAGGATTTAATTCAAGAAATATAAGAATGTGCCTAGCAGACTTATAGTCTTAATAAACTTTATTTATGTATTTCTTTCTTAGGAGCTAGGAATATAAAGAATACAAACGTTTTCTTAGAATGCAATATTAAAGTTTGGCCATCCATTTTCTTGATACTCTGTATGTTATATTTACATATATTGAAATATGTATTCTGTTTTTATTCTGCATAATTAAGGAGATTTGATGAAAAATCGTTTGATCAAGTGTATTTATTGTTAGAGATATTAATCCTAAGTTATTTTAACATATTCTTTTAGCTGTTTGTTTGAAATATTCTATCAACAATGTTAACTTTTAAGTTACATAAAACATAAAGTGATGCTATATTAGTTATTTTATTATTTTATTAAATGTTTAATACCGTATTCGTGAAATATTTAATGAATTTAGTCTAAAAGGTCAGAAATATTATTTTGAAAACTTGACAATTAATTGTGATATTGTTTTCTTTTTTTTTTTTCTTTTCATCTTTTAAAAGTTTTTTTGAGAAAGTTATATATTCTTTGTCTACAGTCATAATGTTAACTATGCAGAATGAAAAAATATTGAAATAAATGTTATTTTTTTTGAAAAGAGTTTGATATCTCTCATTTGGAAAAAATTTGCATTTAAAAAACATTTCCTCTGCCTTAATTTATCTTCCGGCCTTTTAATTTAAAATTAAAAAAAAAAATCAATATTCGTGATAATCTTTGGACAGAGTAAAAGGATAATAAAATGGAATTGGAGTTGATATTGAAGCATTTGTTTATTGCAAAACGAACAATTGTTTGCAATATCAGAAATTAATTTTTCAATCAATTTGTTCAAATTTTTTCCTTTATTTGATAAGTACTATCTATGAATTAGATAAAAGCTGTGAAAAAATTTCTTTTCTTAATTATTTTAAATATATTTATCTAATATATATCTAAATTAGTATATGGTGAATAAAATTTTTTATATTTTTATTTGTTCCTTTTTAGTTAATGAATTTCTTCTCAACTTTGATTTGTTTTTTTAGCTTACCCAATTGTGGATTTGTGATTGGTTACTTGAAATGCGAACTACACTTTGGCAGGAATTAGATAATGATTTAGAAAATTTAACTACTAATATATCTCTTGGAGGTTTCCAACGTGATTTAGCTTGTCTGAGACAATTATGTCAGCATATTCCTGTAAGTTTACTTTTTCTTTCTTTTAATATTATTAAAAATAATAATTACTCATTATTATTTACTACATACTTTTTTAGTCTACTTTGGCAAGAGTATTTCTTTATGAAGCTACAGCGCGTATAATGGCAGGAGCAACACCAGTGAAAACTCAAACATTGTTAGATCGTAGTTTGCATCATAGAAATTCACGTTCTTCAATTATTTGTGGAAAAGATCGTTCACAAGATCAATACACTGGAGAAAGAGAACATGCGGTAGCTTTATGTTTAGCTTCTCGACATTTACCTTCATTATTACTGGCTTCTCCTGGGGAACGTGCGGGCATGCTGGCTGAAGCTGCTAAAACTCTCGAAAGGATAGGCGATAGGAAGAGACTTCAAGAATGTTACAAACTAATGAGGCAATTAGGACCGGCTATTTCTGCCAATTGATATATTAAATAATATTCTATATTTGATCTTGTAGATCTTTTATGAATTTATTTCCGTATCACTGTGAGTAAAGTTTAGGAAGAAATTAAAGAATCTCATGTCATTTGTTTTTCGAACTATTTCATTTTTAATTTTACATTAATTATAAAGGAATTGTCCTTTTTGCAGTGAAATTGAATTTTCTATTAAAACAAAATTTGTTTAATTATATTATTAATAATATAGCCTCTTGTTACCAGACAGGCAGGGAGAGTTAGACGTGTGTTGTGTCTCTCCCTGACAGTGGACCACCGCCGCTGATCCCTCTCCTGGTCTCTCCCTCGCACCACCGTTTCTCGCGCGCACTTTTTCCGTCCCCGGCTTTCACCACGGCTATCATTATTGTTAATGTCGAACAATGGAGGGTTGCGCGCTCCGATTTTCCTACGACCTTCAAAGCACGTCCTCTCGTTGCGCCTTTGACCCCTCTGCGGGATTGCTAGCGTGGCACTCGGTCCAGGTATTCTTCCGGCGCCGCCTTGCTGTCCTGCTCCAGTCCTGGGCGGGCCTCTCCTGGTGGATGTTGCTTCCTGGACTCTATGGTTGTTGTTGTTGTTAGAGGGCGGAAGGGCTACGTGCGCCCTTTCCGCTCCTCCTCTCCTCTCGTCAATCGCGCTCGCATTCACGTCCAATGCCCCGCACAGGTATCGGCAAGTGCAGCCCTGGGCGCTTTCAGGGCGTGCGGACGGTGGTCGCGCGTTTGCAATGGCACACGTGCCCGCATTGCTTAAATCTAAACGCGCGTTGCGGCCGGCACTCCCCGCATCGGAGCGTGCGGTGCGTGCGGTGCCTGCTGGGGGCCGTGTTCCTGCCGCTGATGCGCAAGTCGTTGCTGCTGCTGCTGCTGGTGCGCTCTCCGACGCCTTCTTTGGACAACGGACCAGCTATCGTCCTCTCCACCGGGTTTGCCGTTGTCACCGGGTCCTCGAGGATGGTAGCGAGGGGTGTCCCGGACGGTCGCACCAGGAGTGATGTCCGGACGTTCGGTGATGCCGTTGTTGTTACGACGGTCGGTAACGATGTACCTCCACAGACGTTGGATGGAGGCGTGTAGGACATCGTCACGGCACGATGGCAGGGGAGGAGATGGGCCTGCCACTCATCATCGTAGTGCAGGTGGTGGCCGTTGTGAGGACAACGGCCACTGGAGAGCGCTGTGGAGTGGCGGTGATGGGAGGTGTCACTCTCTTTACGGCATCTGAAAATGTTGTCGTCGACGAGGCTAACCGACGAAGAAATGGCCTCGGGGATGCCGTTGGGGGGTGTTCGTCGACACGTTGTTGTTGTCGTCGCCGCTGTTGTTATAGGTGAGGTTGGCGACGACCCAGCCGCCGGTGGAGTGCGCGGCGCCTTGCCTCGGTGGTGTCTTCCTCTTCTTGGTCTGCCCGGGCGAGCGTTGTTGTTGTCTCCGGAGCCGGCTGGAATTAAGGCTCGGCGGAGTACTCAGTCCCGGACGGGAAGACTTACCTTCGCACCGAGGGCTGGTGCGTTTCCGGTTATTTGCCGGTGACACCCTGGCAACAGTGAGTGGTGTTGCGCGCAGCAGCTGGCCGCGAGGTCGCCGATGTAGACGGCGATGTCCTCGAGGTGCTCTTTTTAAAATTTGAAGTCGGCGGGGTCGGCGGGCACGAAGATGCGCCCGCGTCGTCATCCTCGTATTGTTCGCCGATGTGGCCGCCGTCAAAGGTTTTGCCGGGAGTCGCCTCCCAGCGGTCGGGGAAGTTCTCGTCCCTGCTGTCGTCATCGTCACCGTTGTCGAAGTCGGTGTTTTCCGGGTCCTGCTGCTACTCCTCT